TTTTTTTTTTTTTTTTTTTTTTCTGGGCTGGGGACTGTGAGCTCTGGAATCCCAGCCCATTCAGACAGATGAGGAGAGAAAACCTGAGGCTCTTTTGGCCACACTGCCTGTATTTCCCCAACTGGGCCTGGCAGATGGCCCCCATGGGTTCTTTAAGCTCTGTTGGTTTTTCCAGAGAAGGCATGAGACCTTGTAAATTGCACAGTGCACATGACTGTTGATGAAAATCTCTTGATCTCTGGCCACATGGTCTGTATTTCTGACTGAGCAGCTTCCTGGGGCTGGCAGCTGAGGTGTCAGTCAAAGCAGTATTTATTAGACTCACTCCTGGACACCAATTGCTTCAAATTACTCGGGAACTCTGGGGCTATCTAGGATTACTCAGCAAGCTTAATTAAAAGAGGCCCCCTTTAATCATTTTTGCTTGGAGCCCGGCTGTGGGGGTATGGAAAGGACTGAGGGCAACTTTGCTAGTGATAAATTTTCTAGTGTAAATGCCTCTGGGTAATAACATAGCATTTCCCACAGAGAAAAAGGAACATGTGTTCATGTCGTCTTTTCCTCATCACCTGGTCCACTTGAGAAATCCCTATTTTGGGTAGCAGTAGCAGTGGCACCTCTGAAAGTAGTTGATGGCAATTGGAAAATAATTCTGGAACATAAGAGCTTATTCTTAGGTAATCACAGTAGTTGCTGTTCATACTCCCATAACTAACATAAATATGAACTTTCGTCCAAGGAGCCCCTATTATTTTTAAAACAGATTTACATGGATATATAGCAGCTTATAAAACGTGTCTTAGTACAATATTGCCCTTAATAGAGTAGATGTCCTTTTTATTTAACTAACTGTGATAGCAGTCTTGTTCTTTATTATGTCAGAAATCAATCACACTGGGGGTACAGCCGCAGATTAAGGGGCTCAGAGATACTGAGGTGTGGGTACCACCTTTGCCATTTACTCAGTAAGGGGTCATGGGGAACTTATTCCTGTATGTCTTGGTTTTTTTTTTTTTTCTCTGTGAAGATAATTACTACCTACTTCATTAAATTATATGTTTCTTGTGAACTGGTTAGTTACATGCCTATCACCTAAGAATTGTATTAAGTGCCCACGGACTAATAGTAATAATATTCTTCATAGTGGCTGACCTTCTACACCTTCCCCCACCGTTGGCTTCATTCTCAGGTTGGTTTTCTCATTTGTGGCAATGATGGACATTATCAGCTTCAGTCTACTTTCTAACAGTTTAGAAACCCCATAAAACCAGCCTGCTATTTACTTATATTTCCAGGGAAATATAGTCAAAGCTATAGAAGGCGGTACATTACTCATGTAGGTCAGGGACCTGAAATAGGAGGTGAGGTTGGGTCCCAGTCCAACTGCATGGTTCAAGGTTAGAGGAGAGAAGATTGCTAAAAAAAGAGAAAAACAGGATTTTGTCATCACCAAAAGGGAGAATAGATTTTCATTAGAGAAAAAATACAGGTGGGAGAACTGAGTGTCTGCAAGATAAAGTCCCAAAATGGGGATTTCTTTTAAGTTACTAGAAAGGTCTGGGCACATGATAAATTGTGTCATTTGATCCTTATAACAAGATTGTGAGGTAGGGATTCTTATACCGATTTTTTTTTTTATTTCTTTTTGGCATAACAGTATTCATTGTTTTTGCACCACACCCAGTGCTCCATGCAATCCGTGCCCTCCCTAAGACCCACCACCTGGTTCCCCCAACCTCCCACCCACGGCCCCTTCAAAACCCTCAGGTTGTTTTTCAGAGTCCATAGTCTCTCATGGTTCACCTCCCCTTCCAATTTCCCTCAACTCCCTTCTCCTCTCCATCTCCCCATGTCCTCCATGTTATTTGTTATGCTCCACAAATAAGTAAAACCGTATGGTAATTGACTCTCTCTGCTTGACTTATTTCACTCAGCATAATCTCTTCCAGTCCCGTCCATGTTGCTACAAAAGTTGGGTATTCATCCTTTCTGATGGAGGCATAATACTCCATAGTGTATATGGACCACATCTTCCTTATCCATTCGTCCGTTGAAGAGCATCTTGGTTCTTTCCACAGTTTGGCAACCTTGGCCATTGCTGCTATAAACATTGGGGTACAGATGGCCCTTCTTTTCACTCCATCTGTATCTTTGGGGTAAATACCCAGTAGTGCAATGGCAGGGTCATAGGGAAGCTCTATTTTTAATTTCTTGAGGAATCTCCACACTGTTCTCCAAAGTGGCTGCACAAACTTGCAATCTCACCAACAGTGTAAGAGG